GCGGAAAACATGAACGATTTTGGGCGAAAAAATGTCGCATTTCAATTGGCAGCTAAACTGTTCCTCATTCGAAATTCCCTCGTTGTCATTGGCTAGGTGCCCATTTCGGGGCACAACCATTATCATAATGGAACTTACTGTAATATCCTACGATTCGTAATACTGGGCCCAGTACAAAATCACTAACACGGGACAGGTCTCTGGTAGCAACAAAGCTGAGGTACAGTGTCCGAAAAAACGCGCGCTTTCGGACATGTCCGAAAGCGCGCGTTTTTCACTTCTCTGAAGTTCGAACTTACCTGCAGCGATTGCTGCAGGTTGTATAAAGGCATAAAAAGTCGCGACTGGTGAGATCCTCACGCGCGAGCGACATCACCCAAGGGTCAGTCTACAGACTTTGACGCTCCGCAGGCCATGGCCGCGGCCACAAGAAAGCTCTGCAGGTTCGTTCTATTTTTTTCTACTCGCTTCGGATCCGCTCTCTTTTGTATGAAACTGACTATTCTTTCGTATTTTAATGTATCTTACAAGTAAGAAGACGATGAACACTACCTGGTACGTTGTCTTACAAACTAACCGTCCTTTTCAGTTGTATTCATCCCATGTTTGCCAGGCAGGGCCCAGAATTGAAGGGGATTTCGGCTGTAGTGGCGACCCGGAGTCTAGCTGTAGGCGCTCATTTATCTTGAAGTACATAGGTCAAATAGTTCTACAGTGATATTTCTATCGAAAATCTAAACTTTCCAATACGCAATTGCCCATGATCTTTATCGACCACTCGAGGTATTACGCGCGCGTTCGTTGCGCAGTCTAAAGGAAGAACGCTTAATTGCACATTGGCGTACAGCACAGTAATAAACGTCGATAGGCGAGGTTGCCTGGAGTAGTGCAAAGACGGGAAGAAGGACCACCAGGGGCGGCTTATACATACGAAATAGAAATTCGTATGAGGAGGTAGCTCAGTAGGAATGGGCAGACCGCCTGGAGCGGTAGCACAGTAGGAAACTGAAGAATGACTGATTTGGTAGCAGAACAGGAAAGGCAGACCGCCTGAGGCGGAAAAGTTCGACTCAGCACACACAGTCTGCGGAGGTATGGAACGTGCAACGGAAGACCAACTCCAAAGTACTCAGTTTACAACTCTGAAGAACATATTTGGTAATCAATCTTGGGATTACACGCCATGTTTCTAGGTGGTCCTGCAGTCTAACAGCAGTGACATCTAATGGAAGTTTCTCGAAAGATGCCATGTGTACACCTGCGGCGCACCTTGGCGCGCACTTATCTCACCCCGTACGAACTACCATAATTCAACGGCCACGTACCGCCGCCGGCAGTTCTAAATTTGGAATATTATTACTACCACAGGAGTTTTTTTGAATTCTATTTTTGGCGGTAAAATTAACCTTCTCAGGGGGTCAAAAGTGTGACCAATAAGGAATTGGATTTTACCCCCTCAGGCGGTCATGTTTTAGTTATCATAAGACCTCCTTAGAGACCTCCGGAAATTTCTAAAACGTACCTTGCAGTGGAGTTCAGCAAGGCACTCAAAAGTTTAACCTACACAAATGCCTCCGAGAATCCGATAGTTAGAGTCATTGGACGTCTCATATGCTCTCAAATCAATAACGCTGCAGTTTTACACAGACTATCTATCGCGAAAAGGAATGGTTCACTCCCAGATACAGAGGTGTACAAAAAGTGGAAAAGCCCCTGGATATAACGCAGTACAAAAGAAAGTCTCCAGGTGCTGCTCTTTCGCGGATTTGCAAGGCGTCTAGCAGAAGAGTTTTACGAAAAGTATAACAGCTCGACAGCAGACGTGGCTGTTTCGGGACAGTTAACAGATTCGAATTCGACTGCATCTGTTAGTCCTCTGTACAAGCGCAGTATAATAGCAAAATACAACAGGCAGTCCGATCGAGAACGACGTCTGTCCAATATTGAATCCCACGTCAAGAAGGGGGGAAAGAATGTGTATTGCAGCTTATGTTCTTTGTCTTATGTGTTCGAGGTAGGCGAGAAAAAACACAAAGACGAGGAGGGGCCAGAACCACAAAATGGTGTAGTGTTTGCCGTCAAGCTGTTTGCAAAGCATGTTGGATACCTTGGCACACGACAGAAATTCTGTCGCGAGCCAACGTAACAGATGCAGAAATTGAACGACAAACCGAAATGGTATTGCAACGGGGAAGGTCATTAAAGAATTCTCATGAGAGAAGTCGCCATGGGGACTCGCATGAGGACTCGTAAAAATAGCATGTATGAAAGCACTCTAAATCATATTCGTGAACGTCTAGTTCACTCACACGGAATAAACGTGAAGGAATGTCTCAGAAAACTGCCTGTGTGTATTTATAGTTCTTTCGAAAGTTCAAAACCTGCCACAACATCATGTCAAAATACAGAATTCAGAACTCTAGGTTCTGTCATTGATAATCAAATACAGCGGACAAATGTGACGGGTATTGGAATTGTAGCGAGAGAGGGTAATAAGCTGGTCCGAAAGGAGAGGAGACGCCGTGCAGCCCAGTGAGTAAACGGAGAGTCGAAGGGGGAAGGAAGGGCTACTCGCAGGGGACGACAGATAGTGCAAGGGCGGAGAGGGTTGCGGGGGGAGGAGAGAGCTGGATTGCCGTTTCTAAGAGAGAACGTGATATCTGGGGGGCGTATAGTGAATGCCGCACGATTCACGGCGTGATTCCAAAAGTGATATCACGTTGCTCACTGTCAGAACGTGAATGTCACTATTTCATAAACTTTCACGCTTTGCCAGAGTGCAAAAAAATATCACCTTGGAGGTGTGGCGTGATTCCAAGGAGTGATATCACTCTATGCACACTGTGGGAACGTGAATGTCACTATTTCAGAAAATTTTCACGCTTGGCTAGAGTGCGCAAAAAATATCACGAACTTGTAACGGGGTTAATCAATTCCATTTTTCCCGGTTGATAAAAAGTGTTGCCGTGTTGCCGGCCCAAGCCCCCCGTATCGAAGCTCGGAGCTTTGATCATACTGTAAGTGGGTTGGTTGCTGCCCACGCTGGTATCGTATCGACGTGTAAAACGAATAGGCCACAGACAAGGATGGTCCGACAAATTCGCTTTGTTCTGCGCAACGAAACGTGACAAGTACTTGTGATTCCCGGGGGGCAATAGCCAGACCGTGGCGCGGCGTCAGGTGGCGCATGCAAAACCAGCGGTGGTGAAAACCGCTTTACAAAAACCGGACGCACGGCCGCTAGAGCAGCAGGGAGCTCCAATAATCGACAACACGCGGGTGCCCGTACCACGGGCCAGCCGAGGCCGGTGAGTGCCAGACGCCCTTGAGGCGGATATTGCGCTCGGCGTCGTCGAGAAAAGCGACGGACAGGGGCACGATGCCTGCGATCCGAGGCGTGTCCTGGAGAGGATGGCGCGCGGCACGAGCAAAGCGCACGCAGGCAGGAGACAAGAACGAGGTGAGCACATGGCCGCGACGCCGGGCGCAAACGAAAAAATATGTACATACGACGCAGCAACGCACCGTCTCCAACGCACGGCTTGCCCCTGGTGGCGGCGTCGGTGATGCCGTAACTGACCCTCTGCAGCCACTTGCCCTCCCGCCACCCGCCGCTTACCGAGCCGGCGTCGCCGGCGAGGCACAGGTACCTGACGGCGTCGCAAAAGCAGCCGGGGTAGACGTCGTTGACGAACTGCATGTTAGCCCTGGTGACCCACTCGGCGCTGCGGTGCGGGGTGCCGAGACACACGAGCGCGCCGACGTGGCGGGCGCCGTTCCACGCGAGGCCTGCGCGGCGCGGGTACGGCGCGGCGCCGAGGTAGATGCGTGCGATCCAACCGGCGGCCGAGTGTGCGACGAGCGTGACGGAGGGGGCGCCCGTGGCGGCCTTGGCGCGCGTGACGGCGGCGTGGATCAGGTGCAGCACGGGGGTGACCGGGCGGCCGGCGAGCGTGGCTAGCCACGTGCGCGAGCGGATGGGGGCGACGGAGACGTGCGTGGAGGGGCGCGCGAGGCGCAGCGCGGCGGCCATCGGCTGGTAGGCCGAGGCGTCCGCCGCGTAGCCGGGGATGATGACGACCGGGAGGGCGGGGCCGGCGGCGCGCGGCGGCGGGTGCGTGAAGGGGTCGACGAGGAGCGGGGCGGCCGTGAGGACGTCGGGGGAGGGGAGGGAGGCATGCGGGGCCTTGGCGGGTCTTCTGCTGCAGGGGAGGGAGCAGGGAGGAACGCGCGCGGGGAAGTGGGGTCGGCAGAGATCGGATAGGGGCGAGGGAGGCGAAGGGAGGGGAGGGAGGGGGGAGAGGGGGGAGAGGGGAGGGAGGAAGGCAGTTGGGTTGTTCATTGGACGTGCGGTTGGGGGGGAAGGCGGAGGGGGACAGGCTCGGGGAATGCCTTGGCAAGGTGCATCATGCAGTCTGCATTGCCGAGCCGATTAATCTCTCGAGCTGATCAAGATCAAGGTGTCGCTGTTTCTTGAAGTACACGTGTGCGCGTGTGCACGTTGTACGTGTGCACAGCACTTCCTTACACGTGGACGTCGTGTACGCGTGTTCCGTGTGGCTATCTCTATCTCTATCTCTATGAGCCACTCTAACGTGACATCAGTCTCGTTGATGTTCAACCCGCAGCTCTCCGGCGCAGAGGAAAATACTGCGCCTCCTTCTTCCACAACTCTCTCCCCTCCGCTCCCCTCTACCCCACACACCGCCCGCCCTCCGCCCCCTTCCCCCCCCCCAAAATGGCCTCGAAACATGATTACACCTGTTCAAAATGTCCCGAGAGAGCTCAGATTGCAGGATGTATGGATATCATCTTGAATTGCAACTACGG